TGTTAAACATGCAATAGACGACAATGATTAGTACTTATATACAGTGTCAGTAAATATACAGGGTTATGGTACCGTGCACTATGATACAGCAACACACTATTAACACTCTCGCTAGACGGCTGAGCTCGCGCTATCTAACAAGATATACACTTTACTAACAATCTTTAACACATTTACAATCCCAACTAAACTATTGGCCAGTACCTTGAATGGACTACCTAAAACTATATACACCCGTTTTGGTTAGCCACACTGCCCAAACACCACATATAGCGAACTAGAGGGCGAAATTTACAAAATTGCCCTTCTAGTCTATTTACTCTATCAAAAGTCTAGTGGGTTCCAAATTTACACGCCTTCCCACTTAGCCAAGATAGGTTGAGAGCTAGCGAACCGAATTTACACAGGCGCCGCTTAGTCTCCCGGTCCCTCCGACCTAGCGAACGTAATATACACCCTAGAACGCTAGTCTAGACAAGACACCGGTGTCCGGCTAGGGCTATTTACACAGGACCCCGCCTGACTAACCAGATCAAACGGTCTTACTAAAGAGCGTTCGATCGAGCGGTGCGCCTTCGCTCCTTCCCTCCGACAGAGGGGGCAGATTCCATACACAGATTTAAACCCCTTTTGGGCCTACCGCACAATCGGTATACCCCTAGTGGGTCTGCCGTCTAAAACAGCAGTTGTCTTACCTCCTCGTTCCTGAACCTGAGTTCACACTCATCGACGGGGACACCCCAGCACTTCTTACGTAGAGGCCGATGATCTCCTGGACAACAGACCAGTGGCGCCGAGACGAAGGGAGGTCCACGCAGAAGTTCAGGGGTGCAGCCGTAGAGAACGTGGGCAAAGATAGACCGTCTCACGCCTCTGCCTCTCAGCTACCGTTGAACGATGAGCTTCCCGGCCAATGCACCAAATGATACCGGAGAAACTGACGGAAGCAAAGCACAGAGGGATGGACACAGGTTTCTTCAGGAAGGAAGAGATTCTTTATTGGATCACCGATCGGGACTCAGAGGGACTAATGTCACCAAAAATACAGCAAGTTCTGAGCCCTGAACAATAGTGCAGGCTCCCTATATAGGCACATAACTCCTCCCATATTAAGCTCCACCCGCACATTCTCTTGACCAATCATTACAAATAAAAATTAACTTCCTGCTTGACCGCATGGCTTGTCCAGCACAATGGAGGAGGGGAATACTACATCCTGTATTCTTGCACATGCTCCGTACACTACTGATCGTATCTTGCCTAGTGCAACCAACTGATCGATACGTCAGCATATGCACGTACACATGCCACGTGGTAATCTCGGCCTACTAAATTTATTTTTACCGAGATTCCACCTCAATGTGTTTATTTATAAAGATTACTGGTAGTTTTGCCATGTGTTTTATTTATACAGATTACTGGTAGTTTTGCCATGTGTTTTATTTGTACAGATTACTGATAGTTTTGCCATGTGTTTTATTTGTACAGATTACTGATAGTTTTGCCATGTGTTTTATTTGTACAGGTTACTGGTAGCTTGCCCTGTGTTTTATTTATACAGATTACTGGTAGCTTGCCCTGTGTTTTATTTGTACAGATTACTGGTAGTTTGCCATGTGTTTTATTTATACAGATTACTGGTAGCTTGCCATGTGTTTTATTTATACAGATTACTGGTAGTTTGCCATGTGTTTTATTTGTACAGATTACTGGTAGTTTGCCATGTGTTTTATTTATACAGATTACTGGTAGTTTTGCCATGTGTTTTATTTATACCGATTTTTGGTAGCTTGCCCTGTGTTTTATTTGTACAGATTACTGGTAGTTTGCCATGTGTTTTATTTATACAGATTACTGGTAGCTTGCCATGTGTTTTATTTGTACAGATTACTGGTAGTTTGCCATGTGTTTTATTTATATAGATTACTGGCAGCTTGCCATGTGTTTTATTTATACCGATTTTTGGTAGCTTGCCCTGTGTTTTATTTGTACATAGAAACATAGAAACATAGAATGTGACGGCAGATAAGAACCATTCGGCCCATCTAGTCTGCCCAATTTTCTAAATACTTTCATTAGTCCCTAGTCTTATCTTATATTTAGGATAGCCTTATGCCTATCCCATGCATGCTTAAACTCCTTTACTGTGTTAGCCTCTACCACTTCAGCTGGAAGGCTATTCCATGCATCCACTACCCTCTCAGTAAAGTAATGCTTCCTGATATTATTTTTAAACCTTTGTCCCTCTAATTTAAGACTATGTCCTCTTGTTGTGGTAGTTTTTCTTCTTTTAAATATAGTCTCCGCCTTTACTGTGTTGATTCCCTTTATGTATTTAAATGTTTCTCTCATATCCCCCCGTCTCGTCTTTCCTCCAAGCTATACATGTTAAGATCCTTTAACCTTTCCTGGTAAGTTTTATCCCGCAATCCATGAACCAGTTTAGTAGCCCTTCTCTGAACCCTCTCTAAGGTATCAATATCCTTCTGAAGATACGGTCTCCAGTACTGTGTACAATACTCCAAGTGAGGTCTCACCGGTGTTCTGTATAATGGCATGAGCACTTCCCTCTTTCTACTGCTAATACCTCTCCCTATACAACCAAGCATTCTGCTAGCATTTCCTGCTGCTCTATTACATATTACTGGTAGTTTGCCATGTGTTTTATTTATACAGATTACTGGTAGCTTGCCATGTGTTTTATTTATACAGATTACTGGTAGTTTGCCATGTGTATTATTTGTACAGATTACTGGTAGCTTGCCCTGTGTTTTATTTGTACAGATTACTGGTAGTTTGCCATGTGTTTTATTTATACAGATTACTGGTAGTTTGCCATGTGTTTTATTTATACCGATTTTTGGTAGCTTTCCATGTGTTTTAGTCACAGATTTCTGTGAGTTTCCATATGTAGATATATCACAGATTACTGTGAGTTTCCATATGTAGATATATCACAGATTGCTGTGAATTTCCAGCTCTATATATCACAGACTACTGTGAGTTTCCATGAGTATATATTCCACAAATTACTGTGAGTGTCCAGGTCTATATATCACACATTACTGTGAATTTCCATGTAGATATGTCACAGACTTTGGTGAGTTATATCACAGATTTCTCGGATTACTGTGAGTTTCTATGTGTATATATATATCGCGGATTTCTGTGAGTCCTTGGGCAGTATATACTTATATCACGGATTCTGTGAGTTATAGGACAGTGTATACATAAATCACAGATTTCTGTGAGTTCTATGTCAGTGTATATAGCACCGCTTGCTGTGAGTCTTAGTGCTATAGATCTCACGGATTGCTGTGAGTTTCACTGACGGTAGATGTCAGTCCTGTCTATGCCGATACTATTCTATCTTATCAGGCTTCTTGGGAAGATTCATTGAGTTGGCAATTGTTTTTGCTCTACTCCTGAAGAGACCATGAGTACAATACCCTTCAGGCGGTACGAGGATGATGATGACCTACAATAAAGATAAGATATCTCATACGGATCTGTATGTACATGTGCATTACAATTTGCACCTTAAAGAAGGTATTGCTCAGCAGAGCTTGATTTTATGGACACTCACTGGAACATGTCCAGCTTAAACCCAATACAACTGGTTTTACCTCTATGTTGCCTGCTGGGCACTTAGGGACCGCCAGTCCCGGTTACGGTTTATTCACACAGTAGTACACTGTCTAAGATTAGTGTCTAAGGGTACTAGGTCACAGGATTCCCGGAGGATTTACAGATATTTAGGGGACTCTGCCAAACTCAGAGGTCCCCATTACTCATTTAAGATGAAACCCAGGATTGGCCTGCTATGTCTGTGCCCCATTAATGGGCCTGCTATGTCTGTGCCCATAAGATTGGCTTGCTATGTCTGTGCCCATAAGATTGGCCTGCTATGTCTGTGCCCATAAGATTGGCCTGCTATGTCTGTGCCCATAAGATTGGCCTGCTATGTCTGTGCCCATAAGATTGGCCTGCTATGTCTGTGCCCATAAGATTGGCCTGCTTTGTCTGTGCCCATAAGATTGGCCTGCTTTGTCTGTGCCCATAAGATTGGCCTGCTCTACCTGTGCCCGAACTCCCCTTTGGACCACAAACCTCGGGGAATATCACTGAAGTAAGCACAGTACCCTCTAGGTGGGTGTCCGGACAGACACTGCTGCCAGATTATCCAAGAGGACACCAGGATATGGACATCTAACTGTGATTGGAGGGGTGAAGGCCCTACACCTCATGCCCTGAAGGGTAAAGTTTTTATGAGAATTCCCGGGCACGCAATTACGGGTTATACCCAACGACGACACATCTCCAATGGGAATTTCGCACAAGCAGGGAACAGTGCTCAGACGCCATATTAGGTATAGGTAGTGTTTTTCTATGTCATGTTTAGCTCTTGACCTTTTCAACTGGATTCACTTGATTCATTTTTTTCCAGTTCTGCTATCCGACCTGCTTTCCGAGGTACGTATTTTCCACTTTCTACTTCATTGGTCGTTTCTTTGTTTTCGTGCCTTCTATTGTCCTATTGCTCGGGTCGTCGAGAGGCCTGACTTGACCTCCTCCGACCTCCCGGGCACTTGTGGATTGCGGAGAACGTCTCCAGCTTTCCTCAGACTACCGACGGTCATCCTGGAGCCCGCGCGCACGCACGGGATCCGGGCGGTCCGTTGATAGTTACCATCTTCAGCTCCGAAACGTACTTTTCTCATCACCCCTTTCTCTTAAGGTCGGACACGGCCCGAGGTTGTATACTTTGCTTATATTAAATAAGGGTGTAACCCCACGTTTGGTCACCCTGAGTCTCTACTGGACTCTGGTTTGGATTACAGAGGGTGCGGCCCTCCTTCACCTCGGCCCGAGACTGATATTTTTATTTTTCAAGAGTTGAGGGCGAACCCCTCTCATTTACCGAATTGGACACTGATTCATTATTAGAGGGCGTGGCCCTCCCTCAACCTCGGCCCGATACTGAGCTAGATATAGAGGACATGCTCCGAGTGACTCATTCTCATAGAAGGAACGCGGACTCAGAGTGCGATCACATTTTACAGAGTGCGACTCTCTCATACACTCAACGCACTATGGTGCCGTCCATTTGTTCCTCACACAGGCTTGTACCTGTACAGGTCAACTATGACCGCATAGAGGGGCGTCCCTCCTACATCCAATTTAAATATGATGTCCGCGCTACTGATTTCGTTCTAGAGGGCTACCTGATCGGGCTAGGTATACATAGTTTGTCTGGATCCATCTTGTAATCCACATGAGAAATGCCCTCAGAGGTATTAGTGGGGGAGGTTTCCCACTTATGTACACACATTCCGGGAGACAGTACGGCTAAGGAGGAACCTCAGTTCTTACAAGAGTACAGGTTTTGGTAAAACCTGTGCTATATCAAACAGACTTTGCACTCTGTTTCAGATATTCATTGTGTACAAACTGTGCAGACTATTCTCCCGTGTAAGGGTGGCATGAGATTCTGAGACCTGCATAGGGCAAACGGGCACTTGAGTAACAAGACTGGAAAATTCACATAAACGGTTTTCAGGTGCACCGTATGAATGGATCGCATGGAGAAACCGAAATTCTCAGGACTTGGCTTCCCTGGTCCTTACAATCTTGAGATAAAGTTGGCAGGACTGCTCCTACAACTCTGAACACACCTTGAGAACAGTGTTCGGACTCTATATCCATCACGGGAACCATCTTGATTTGGGTTCTCACTAGCCTTCCTATTCAACTACCATCAAGGAAACCTACACTGGGAGATACATGCTTAGACAGTCTATGAGACAGGAACCTAGGAGTCTCACTATATTATTCCCTATCTTGTAGGTGGCGTGTAGGCCAGGAACCCCTACACGAATATTGACAGGTTGGGCATGGAACAGGATTGTACAAATGGTAACCAGAGTATCTCACACTCACTGCAACACGTAAGGGCTCTTCTGTGTTATACGGTCCTAAACTCTATTGGATCCGGCCATCTTAGCACTCTTAGAGGATGATGTATTTGGATGGAAATCTCAACCCCGGTTTCCGATCCCATCCTTTTGAGCTTTCCAGGATCCACAATTCCCAGAATAGTTGACCACCGTTTACCACACGAGTTCAGTTTGAGACCTTGATTGGACGCCCTTTGGATGTCATTTCTAGACCGCAGCCGTGGATTACACAGTCCAGTTGGTAGACTGGAGTCTCTTAGGATACAGCTAGTATTGTCCACACTATTATCTGTATATAACTTTATTTCAGAGGAGACAATTCACCAGGTAGGTCATAAAGGAACGAATAGACACTATTCGGTTCTATTCGAGTATTGACGGTGGACTTAGGCGCCGGCCTGAGGTTGGAGTTTGTCTGCAAGGCCACATCGCCTGGTGAACCTGACACGATCGGAGGAATCACCTCTCACATCAAGAGTCGAGACACGGTGGAAGTCTCTTCTCGCGACCCCTCGGCACTTTACACCTACAGGAATATGGCTAATAGGTCAACTTGGCTGCCCATGGACCGACTGCTAGGGAACAGGTCGTAACCCCACGTACAATGGATCTATCAACGGAGGTCACTTCTCGCAGTTGGAAGGTCGATTTAGGTTTGCTCTAATATTCTCGGAATGGGTACCAGTGAAACAAGCAGCGTTGGATTTGTTGGCTGAGCGTTAAAACAGCAAATACGAAGCCTCCTGTCATGTTATAAAATTGTAGATTATGCTAGCTTTAGTGTACCTATAATCTTAATTTTATTAATGACAGGAGGCGAGTATTTCCCACCCATTCTTATCCCTCCCTTGTTTAATTTTATAGTTTGGATTTATCAGGTATGTATACAACTCTGCTTGTTGTTTCAGCTACCTGTCACCTGTCCTTATGCCTGTTTTTCATAAGTAGGGTTGGGATATCTACATATTAAGGTAATTTTGTTTTGCTACATTGGGTATCTACAAGTTTATTCAAAATACATTTCATTGGATAATCAACCTGTTCGATTCTGTTTTTCTCTCGTTTCAGTTTCCAGTCCTTCAGCACTATCTGGTGTGGCTCTTCTTCGTGGATGGTGGGCATTGACTTATTTTCAGTCCATCAACGCTATCCGGTTGACAGTTCTTCTCAGACGTTGGACATTGCTGTATTCATCGTATCTGGACTTCGTTGCTTCCCATTATTTTTTCTGCCTTTGTTCTGTTTTGTTGCAGCTTGAAAGAGGAAATGATGCAATGGGAAGAGGGTTTTATAGTACCTAACTTTTTTCTGATTGGTTGTTTTTCTATGCTGCTGTGGAGTTCTAGTAAAGAGAGACTAAAGCAAATACTCGCCTCCTGTCATTAATAAAATTAAGATTATAGGTACACTAAAGCTAGCATAATCTACAATTAATTTATATAAATATTTACATTTGTATACTATAAACATAATTTTATATATAACATGTTTGTATACAAATGCATTAATATACTGTATAAGTGTATCTATACATAAAACACTCGAAAACTGTAACAAATAAAAATCTGAATAACTTGGGCTAAAATAGTTGAGTAAATTTGTAACAGAATACAGTAAACACTTGAGTCTGATTACCAAATGTTTCGTAAAATGTCAAGATAATTGGGCGGGAATGTGCAAATGTTAGTAACTAGCGTAGACCTTTTTTGCTGACGTCTGACTGCAACGATTTTAATTTACTATACTGGGCTTTGCAAGCACTCGCAAATCGTTCTTGGTTTATTTTCTTTATATCTTTGTATTTGGCTGATGCAATTTACAAGTGAACTTATGGGGGGGATCTCCATGGAATTCATTGACATGATGTCTGTTTATATTTCCCAGAATATGTAGGATTGTTTTTGATAGACCCAGGATTTGGCAGTACGACAAGAATCCTGTGAAACTAACTAGTGAAAACATATCAGATCTCCTTTCTTGAAATACTTTCTGGAATGCCAGAATCGGCCGTGAAAATGGTCTCTGCTGAAAGCTAAGGTGAGTTCATCTGAAAGATTTGTTTTTTCAAAATCTGGATTAATATCTGAATTATATACTGTTCTGATGACCCAATACTCATGTAACTGAACCCGGAAGTTGTGGTTTTGCACGCCTGCAGAATATTTGATGGTTTTCTGGATTCCTGGTTATAACTGTGAAATTATTTATATGGTGTAACACATTTCAGAATGTAAAATGTATCTGTTACTGACGTATAATGCTAAATAATATATTGTTTCTGCAATAATGTGGCCTATCACAAAGTATTAATTTAACAGTTTTTCTCTACAAGTTATACAATATAGCAGGTCTTATTTACATCTCATCCTGATTAAGACTCTTCTACAAAAAAAGTCACCATGTTTATTATTTAAAATAAATCATTGCATGTATTATAGCCTCTGTGTTTACCATTTTGTCATGTAAACACATACAGCACATTCAGAAACTATTAATGTTTTGTAGCATTCAAGGGATACTCCAACCACCATGACCACTTTGGTGATTCAAAGTGGTCATGGTGATGGGAGACTGGATGTGCAGTGTTTCTGCATGAAAGAGTAGAGCGCCTGCTAGGGGAAGATTGCTTTCTCCTCAGTCCCACCATCCCTCCCTCCTACTGTGTTCTACTCCCCTCGTTGCTTTGTTCTTTTGTTCTTTTATTTTAATCGGTATTCCCTTCCCAAATCCTTCCACCCTCCCTTTAACGGCTAGATGGCGTGCATGCTCACTGAGTGGGCGAAATAGTCCAAACACTGACTTCTCTATGATGTCACATGGAGATTAGCACCAGTAGCTTTGCTTGGTACTGGATTACATGTAAATTTTAACACTAATTTGTTGTTAATCTCAAGGAGGACCTAATAGCAATGTGCAATAGGACAGAGCAAACCTAAAAAGGCTAATTCTGGCAAAGCGTTAGAGTAACCCTTAACTGCAAATAGATGCATTAAATTGATCAGCCACAACATTAAAACCACTGACAGGAAAGGGCAGGCCAGCAGATGCAGTGTTATGCTGGGAAACCTAGGATTCTAGCATTTATGTGGATGTTCCCCTGACAAGTACCACCTACCTAGAGATTGATCCGGGCCACGTACACCCAGCGGCATACATATCGCGGTCGCAGGACTCACAGCTGCGACCGGGCCCGTCACTCCAGGGGGCCCAGCCACCCTGCGGACCCCCGCGACTGGGGACTAGCTGCCACATTTTGTGGCCTCGGCCCACGCGGCAAACCGCCGGAGCCGTATGTTAAGGGGCCACCCGATGGATATGGCTTGTGAGGGGGCCCGGTCGCAGCTGTTAACAGAGCGACCGGGTGCCCTGTGATGACATCACTGCTAGGAGGAAGTGATTCCCCGATCACTCCTCCCAGCATACAGAGAGCCCGTGCGGGAGGAAGGAGGAGGGAGTCAGAGTGGGAACTCTGACACCCGTCAGGCTGATCCCCCACTGGACCCCAGGGAAAGTAACAAAAGGTAGGAAGCATTTTGTGTATTTGTGTGTGTTTCTCTGTATGTATGTGTGTATGTGTCTGTATGTGTGTGTATCTGTGTCTCTGTATGTGTGTGTCTCTGTGTGTGTCTGTGTCTCTGTATGTGTGTGTGTCTCTGTATGTATGTGTGTATGTGTCTGTATGTGTGTGTGTCTGTCTGTGTGTATATATGTGTGTGTCTGTGTGTATGTGTGTATGTATGTGTCTGTCGGGGGTGTCTGTCTGTGTGTATGTGTTTGTGTCTATGTATCGGGGGGCCCACAGATCAGGAGAGGGAGGGGGAGAGGGGACAGGGGAGAAGGGAGAGGGGGAGGGGGGGCCCACGGAGCAGTTTTGCACCGGGTCCCCATGTCCTTCATGGCAATGGTGTTTCCTGATGGCAGTGGCCTCTTTCAGCAGGATTATATTATTCAGGAATGGTTTGCAGAACATGACAGCGTTCAAGGCAGGGCTTGACAAATTTGCTTTAAATATAGGAGCCAGCTAAAATAGTTAGGAGCCAGTGTTTTTCCAACGACAAAAATACAATTCTTAAAGGAACACTATCGTAACCAGAACCACTGTAGCTTAATGTAATGGCTCTCGTGTCTATAGATTGTTCCTTTAAGAATTTTATATTTGTTGTTGAAAAAAAACTAACTCCTAACTAAAGTTTCTGCTATCTGGACACTAAAGAGTCTCCTATCTTCATTCATAATCTCCTCGCTCTGCATGGAGGAGCTGGACGTTCCCCATAGAGATGCAGGATTTAAAGCAGTGTTTTGCCACACATGCTCAATAGCTTACCAATGTTTTCCTATGGAAAAGCATTGGATTGGCTGAGATCATTAAGATTGATTATCACAGCTATGGAGGCATGACAGATGCAGGAAGACAGGCACATCGAAAAAAAGGTAAGTAAAAACACTATTCACATGTGACTGAAGGGGAGCTGGTGACCTAAACATTCACTGACAGACAGAAACATACATACAGACACACATATACACACAGAAAGACATACATATACACAAGCATACAGAATGACACACACAAACACACTCACAGATATATGTACACACACTCAGACACACATGTACAAACACTCACTTTTTTTTATATATACACACACACACAGAGACAAATACACATACAGACATACACATACAGACATACGCGCACACACAGAAAAAAAGATAAATACATATATTACCACCCTCCTCGTACCTACCTTGTGGGTGCAGGAGGGGCTTTCCTTGGGTCCAGTGGGACTAGGAGCAGGTTACAGTGGGGCTGGATATGGCTGAAAGGAGTGGGCTGCCGCTGATCCAGACTCCCACTCTTCTGTCTCCGATATCTCAGTGCACCAGGAGGAAGTGAAAGCAACTTAACTACTTTCTCCCGGTGCTGGACCAGCGCAGGGGAATGGGCGAGCCGGCGTGCGGGTGTGTGGCTCTGTCGAATGGTCAGTCGGTTGGGCTGCTCTACAGAATGGGCGATCGGGCGGGTGACTCTGCGTCCACAGACATCTCAACCTGTTTCCCTGTCAGCTTGTCCTTCTCTTACTCGGTTTCAGCACCGGGAGGAAGTAGTAACAGTTCCTTTCACTTCCTCCCAGCGCACTGAGATAACAGAGACAGGAGAGTGGGAGTCTGGATCAGCAGCAGACCACTCTTTTCAGCCGCATCACTTCCTTCTGGCGCGCAGAGACAGAGAGACAGGAGGAGGAGGGGACGGGCTGGCAAATCCCCGGCGCCAGGAAAAAATTCTTAGTCGCCATGGCGACCTCGCACCTGGGATTTGTCGAGCCCTGGTTCAAGGTGTTGCCTTGGCCTCCAAGTTCCCCAGATCTCAATCTAATTGAGCATATGTCATGTTCCTGGAGCAGGTCAGAGAGGAGACAATTGCCGGGGTTATTGGTTGAAACTTTATTTGTCTTTTTAGAGATAACAATTTACTTGAAAGCAAGAATTGAGGCAATATGCCACAAAAAGGATACTTTGAGAGCTAAAACAGAATAAAGGCAATATGCCACAAACAGGATACTTTGAAAGTAAATGAATAAAGTA